TCAATACCCTCACCAGACGCAAGCATCCTTTAGTCAAATTTTTGACCCGACACAACCGTCTTCTAGTTACCACCAAGCCTCATATCACCCAGCATTCGGGTATAGTACATCTGACTATCACCCAAGTCAGTTTGGTGACGTTGGAGAATCATCTGCTCAAGGTGGTTTGAACTTGGGACAGCCAAGGTAGGATACGCGGCGAAGCGACAACGCCGATGATTTTATATCTTATATGGATCCGACGCATAGATGGCTGTAAATATTATTCTAGCTTGAGTATTACATTATCATTCTGCGTTTTTTTTTTAGTCTTATTTTGATATTGATAAACTATTTATCTAGTGTAATATATTTGATTAAAACTACATTATTGAAATTAGCTAAATTATTTAACGAGTTTACATCAATTAATTGTTTCTTTTTTAATAATAAAAATTTGCATAACAATCCCTCCGTATCTTTGAAAGAAATTTAAAGTTAGTCATTTCAGGAACATAAAATCTCCATAATACTCGGCCACTTTAATTCATTAAGTAATATAATTTAGAATTGATTTTAGATTTAGTTATCTTACTATAACTCACTCTTAATTTTAGCTATGAACGAATAACAAGAATAACAAAATTTACAAAATTATAATACGGTGGTTCATAAGTAAATATGGTGGTTCATCAAGTAAATACGGTGGTTCACCATATTTGTGAAATGGAAATGGTATCTCGACTTTTCCTCAGGCGAGATAAAAAGCAGCCAATCTCGCCAATGGGAAAGACACTTTCCCTGATCCGTAAACCATCCCACACATTTCCTTGTCACGAATCTCATGTCACAATTCTTCCTCACCGGCAAATGGACCCGGAGCAGACCATGGCAGCGTTGAGAGCATTTAGCGAATCAGAACAGCTGCAAATTTCAGCGCATCAGAACAACTGCAAATTTCAATTAGTGCTGCATTTTCTATTTCCCTTAGCTTTATTTATATTATTTCTCTTTCAATTCCTTTGATTTTGGAGTTAAAATGATGTATTAGCCATACAGATACTTGGGGTAAGAGTGGAGCGATTATATATATCAAAGACTACCTTAATAGCAGTGACCTTGGTAGGAATACACAACATGTATTCTCTGTTTGGAGCCGCCGCCGCCAGGATGACCTCTAACTTGATTGGGCATCGGTATGAAATTGAAAGGAGTAGTGATCACACTATACTTCCACCAGTATCTGCTAGGCGAGATTCGCGTCCTGGACAAACACAAACTCGTCGCTACCCAATGGAAATGGACCATGGAAATACAAGATCCACGGGACGATGTATGTATTGTCGCGCTCGAACACATTCGTCAAACCAATGCCCAAGGTTTATTTCACGGTCGTAGTGACATTTACAAAATACACTCCTTGTACACAAACCTTCAATGAAAATGCAGATGGTTTCTACTTTCTATGTTAACATTTTTTTACATAAAAATTTATTTTTACAAGTTTCACATTTCCATGTAAGTACAATGAGGGCCAAATGTTCATAATTTTACAAAGAAGTTCGTTCTTCCACGAATTTTTCGCGTATAGCATACGCGTTATTCGAATTACAATGCAATATTCGAATATCGTGTATGGCATAGGCGTTATTCGAATATTGCCTGACAAATTCGAATAACGCCTATGCCATACGCGTTATACGAATAATATTTATACCCCCTCCGTCCATTTTATAGAAGCACAACTACTGATTCATTTTGCTCCAAACTCCAGCACAAATTATTTTGCTCCAAACTCCTTATCCATTTTCAAACTCCTTACCAATTTACAAATTTCTCTTCCATCATCATGGATATTTTTGTAGAATTTTCAAAGGTTTCATGCGTCAACCAACAACGTTATAATATGAAACGTTATTTCGCAACTACAATCAATGGAAGGAAATTATTGTATGCAATTATACAGCATACATCAGAAGATCAATATATATGTTTTGCACCTCCTTCATGAGTCAAATATATGAAAATGCTAGGACTAAATGTGTCCGATCCAATTGCATTTCAGAATTTTCAAGATGCAGAGCGTTATACCTATGACGTCCTACAACATGGCCTACAAACACTAATCCTTCCCTCACATAAGTCATTTCATATTTCAAATTTATAATGTGTATTTATAACTATTTTTTCCTTTGCTTTATTGTAGCTTGCAATGATCAAAAACATTTGCCGGATATTACGAGATCTACTATTGTATGGTTTTTTATTACAATTAGGTCGCGTGTGACCATGGTAAATTAATCAATTTTACTTCGATATTTCTTTCTTTTAAATTCTATTCCAATATGTTTTTTTTTTATTGTGCCCTAATTTTGTTTTTTTTTTTTAATTTAAAATTAGAAAATCCCAAATTGCATGTATCGACATCTAATGCAACACTTCACAACGACTGCGATCTTGAAATATGGTTCGTCGTTCGCAATCGAAGTGTCAGTTGAAAACATGCACTTCACTACATGAATTTCTGATTTCATTAGTGCGAATTTGTTAAGAATAGGGGACAGGGTGCTATTTAGACATACTGGTTTCTTCACTTTTGAAACATTTTGCTATACTTTCTATGGAATGTTGAAGAGGTACCCTTATTTTCAACCAAATGCGTACCACATTCCTTCTCGACCATATCAACCAGGTAACTATACACTTTAATGAACCGCCAAAATTTATGTTACATATTCCAATAATTAATTACTCGTTTTTTAAACCTTAGACCGAATACGTGTAAAGGCCAAATCTGCACTGTCCCCAGCATATTCAATTCAGGTAGAACGATGTCGTTCTTTGTATACGGATTTCTCACAACCTGGAGCGGTAAGAAATAATATACATTAATAATATTCTAATTCATTTCTAACAATTATTTACTAATTCATTTCTTTGTTTCGTCACTATAGAAAGCTCGATTGTCTGCATTCCTCAGAGATTCCGACGAGTTCGTTGACGCTACGCTTCAAATAGTATGTGGATCTCGAAAGCTAGACCTATACTTTGACACAACTTGAACTTTTTTCACAGAACAGTGGGAGGAAATAACAACACATTTTAATATTAATACAACGGAGGACGATGTCGTTTTATTCAGTTTGGAGGACAACGTTGTACTACTCATGGTTAATGTTCATGTCATGTTGAAAAAATTTATCCATGGTCGGTTAAATATTTCATTCATGACAGTGTGTATGGTGAACTTAACACTTTAGACATATGATAATAATAATTATGTTAACAGTTGTTGTATATACGATCATTACTACTTATTTACTTTATTTTTTTAGTTCAACATCTAATGATTATATGTTACAAATCATTACTTATTAATTGCATTAATCATTATCTATAAAATAAAATAAAATTGAATTTGTATTTTATTGTGTATACTTCCATATAAATGTATTTCAATCAGTAAAACTCTATATAGATGGTATTTCTTTTTTTCCGTATTAAGCAATGTCGTCTTTTTGGAAAGCGATATCTCAAAAGCTCAATGTCGCCTACGCCAAAGACACTTTCCTTCTTTTGTATCCCACTTTAGGGATTTCCTTATTTCGATAACTGTGCCGAAAACTCTCCCCTTCGAGTTAATGATGCGTCTGCTCCTGCCTCCCTAACACAAATTATCTGACTAAAATTAAAATAAAGTTTGATGATTGGGTTGCTCTGTGATGATGTCCTTCTTATTGTTCAAAAAATTAGTAATTTCTGTGTATGTAGAGAGAAAAGTGCATGCACCGAGGTGGCCGGAGGTACTACCACGGAGTTTGACGCTGCTAAATTGGAAGGAGGGAGAAAGTTTATAGAATTACAGTTTTACCCTCAATTTCGACGGTCAACAAACAGATAAATTAACGGAGGACTAAATTGAGTTAGTTTTTCATAGTTGAGGACTTAATTGGGTAAAAAGGATAGTCGAGGACCAAATTGGTAATTTCACAATAGTCAAGGGACCATTTTAGTTATTAACTATATATATATCAGGGTTGCAAAAATCCCGCCTAGGCACCGAGTAATCGCCGCCTAGGCGCTAGGCGCCCCTAAGCCGTGGCGATTTCCCCCCTAGGCTCCTGCCTAGGAGACCGGCCGCCTAGGCGCCCGCCTAGCGCCTAATTCGGCCGCCTAGCGCCTAACTCGGCCGATTACGCCGAGTTTACTCGTCAATTTCTGTCGAGTTAGCCGAGTTAACCTGGCCGACTTGACCTTGCTAATTTTTTTCATTTATATATATATAATTTTTTTTTTTGAAAACCATAGTTTTGATGTTATGACTTATGAATTATCATTAATTCATTTATTTGGATGTGTTATTTGAATAAATGTTGAAAACAACCTCATTAAAATTGTCAAACTGCAAGTCTACCACTGTTTTTTTGGCGCCCGACTAGCGCCGCCTAGATTCCGCCTAGGCGCCGCCTAGACCGCTTAGGCGCTACGCGCTGCCCGAGCGCCCGACTAGCGCCTAGCGCCTACTGCAACCATGATATATATATATATATATATATATATATATATATATATATATATATATATATATATATATATATATGAAAAATGACTAGATACAACATTGCCTACATTGCAATCTACTTCACTTGTAATCGCTCGTTACTTATAATATAATATTGTCTCAGACCGCTCAGTCGTCACACGGTAGATCGATCAACTGACCAACCGAGTGTCATCTTTTACTTATTCACAATATATTTATTCGTAGCGTAGTCATAACCCCGATACCATTTACCCTATCAAAAACCTTGGTTATAAAAAGAATGATACAAAAATACAGAACAAATAATCAAGCTGTAAACAAAAAGTTGTTGAGTGTTGACAAAATACTATGTAATTATGTATACAGCGCTATCCTCGTAGCGGTCAACCCAAGAGCATATTCCCAACTTCCGGATTCCTATATTCTGCCTGACTGCCTCCCATATAATGCCACTCCGAAATCCGAATATTCTCCATCCTTCGGTTCCTTCACCCACACTCTCTCTCTCTCTCTCTCCATATATATGCATATATTATTTGTATTTTAATTTTAATACTTATCTTAATTCTCCACTTTCATCCTTTGATTCCTTTCCATCGTATATACAAGCAGAAATTATTTTTTCAGGGGAAAAAAGATCGATGAAGTTTTCGAAGAGGTTGCGTAGTTTGAGCAGCCGTATAGAGGAGGTGCTTCCTGAATGGGAAGGCATGTTCTTGTCGTACAAGGATCTGAAGAAGCAGCTCAAGGTGGTTTATCCCAAAGAGGGTGAGACTAGCCGGCCCAATAAACGGCAGAGGCTGGATCAGGAAACGGAGGGTCAGGGTGTGGATTCCTCGGCCGGCGCGGAGGCGCCGCCGGATGTGACGGATTTCGAGACCCTTTTGGGGAAGGAGATCGAAAAGTTTAATGGGTTCTTCATGGATAAGGAGGAAGAGTATGTTATCAGATTGAAGGTATCCATCCTTTGTAATCTTCCCATGTTTCTCCAATTTCATTGCTTATTTCTTAATCTTTTTCTTTGCTTTCTATAAATTTTGCATCTTTTGTTGTCCTTGATTTTATTATGGAAAATTAAATAAATTGCTGTAATTGATTGCTTCTTTGTTGTAGCTGTGATATATTTATTTGGGTATTTGAATATGAATATAGGGACTATTATTTCATTGGTTTTTACATATTGGAGGCTTTGGGATTCTCTTTATCACTGCATAACATCTAACTGAAATCACTTCAAAAACCACATGAAGTCTAGGTTTAGAATATATTTTTTTTAAACCACGAGGTGTTTCGGGTCTATCTCTTTTCATCGTTTGCTCCGGGAGGCATGGGAGCTGGCCCAAGGAGAATTGTCACTTTTGAAAATTGAACCCGGGCTATCCCAAGGATCATACCGAGAAAGAAGTTCATTTGCCACTTGAGCTACCCCTTTGGATTATAGGTTTAGATTGTATTGATATTGATTAGAAAATAACTTGACATGTTTCTTTTTGTGATGCATATGTTATCTGAGGTAATAGTAGCTAGGAAACTAACAGCATTACCTTATGAGTCCATGATCAAAGCATTCCGAACCGGGATTTGTTAAGTGGTCTGTGGGAAATATGTGAGACAAGAACCACATTTAGTAGGAGTTGTGTTTAGGACTTTGGCAGCATATCATTGTCGGTCCGATGTCATGATTGATCTTCGTGTTGGAATGTTGGGTGGCATTACCTTTTAACTTGTTGCAAGGAGCCGGAGGAGTAATGTTTTTTGCAATCGGGTTGTGTGTAGGTGCTGAAAGAAAGAGTGGCAGATTCAAATGATTCGTGTGAAAAGCTGATGAAAGTAGGTAGAGAGATAGTAGATCTTCATGGAGAGATGGTTTTGTTGGAGAATTACAGTGCCCTTAACTATACAGGTACTTGCAGCTCCATATACCCTGCCTTTTATTATTATCTATCTTGGTTTGCATTAGTAAATACTTGGTAAACGGGCAGTGCCCTTTGTGCATAAGGAAGTATATAAAACTGTTTTCGATTCATGGTTAGCATTGAACATGTCAGTTTTCAACTCATCTACGGAGAACCATACTGTCTTGAATTTCAAAAAAGACCATATTTGCTGCTTAACATCTTAAACCAAACTGTTTGTGTTGATTGTCGCCAAATCTACTATATGCAGGGTTAGTTAAGATTTTGAAAAAATACGATAAGTGTAGTGGCGCTCTCCTTCGCTTACCTTTCATACAAAAGGTGCTCGAAGAGCCGTTCTTCAACACTGATGTACTCAAACAGCTAATGCGGGAGTGTGAGACACTGCTGCGAGATAACCTCAAGAAAGCCATAACCGAGAATAACGAGGAGAGGCCTCTCAAAGTCCCCGAGGAACTGGCTGAAATAGAAAACGTGGGGAATATGTACCTGAACCTTACGAACTCAGCGCTGCAGACGTTGGAGGAGATCAGAAGCGGAAGCTCAACTGTGAGCGCATTTTCTCTGCCACCTCTGCATAGGACTGACATGGACGAGGCTTGGAAGAAATCTCAGGTCGTCGAACAAGCAGCGAAATAGTCATCTCATCCCCCCGCTTGGCAACTCGGGTTATTACTTCTGCCCCCACACATGCTTTTCTGGATAGGATGTTCCAAACAACATTTAGGTTGCTTTTTTCCGTTTGATGTAATCTGTAATGCTGTGTGGTTTTTAAAGCTTCATGTGGTTTTGATACAAGTATAAAGAAGAATATTTGGTTGCTTGTGCTATCTTCCCTATCTAGATTGCTCAGGATTGAGGCACATTCTTCTGATTACTGTTTCTATGATTTTTTTTTTTTTTTAATCAAATAGAGAGGGGAGACCCCAGAAGGCTATAGCCTCATAAATATTCTACGATGTCCAGGTTGTTAGCGAACTGAACATTCATGTTCGTTTGTTAAGAATTCATTAGTGTTCGTTAATGTTTGCGAACATATTCACAAAAATGTTTGTTTCGTTAATGAACACGTTCACAAACATGATCGTTAATAAACACGGTTATGAACATGTTCGTTTACATTCATGAATACGTTCATCAACGCTTAATAGCCAAACACACGCATATGTTTATAATTATGATCACAATTCGTTCATATCCGTTTATGAATGAAAAATAATCTATGTTTACAAACAATAACCAAACAACAACACAATTATATATATATATTAGTTTTTTACGCGCATTGCGCGATTGAGATAATGACCAATGTGATTTTTAAATAAGTACTTTAAAGTATATATCAATGCAAGATTATATTGGAATTGTTCATGCAATAGATAATTGAATGTTGAATTTGCCTATTTAAATAGGTAATTCTAAGTTTAATTTACAAATGATAATATAGTCAAGATTGATTATAATTTTCAATAAAATAATTATATAGGTATGGTTGAAACCAAATACGGGATATAAGGGAGAGCAAATAAAAATTAGGGCGTAAAATATTAAATACATACTAATATTGAAGAGCTAACTGTTGATTGTCAAACAATGACATTGCGAGGCAGTTTTCACTTCAATTTGTTGTGTGATTTGAATACTTTTTTTATCAATAAATCCCCCAAGTAGTTAATATGATTGACTTAATTATATTTTCTTTTTTTATTTTTTATTTTTTAAAAACAATTATTATTATTATTATTATTATTATTATTATTATTATTATTATTATTATTATTATTATTGTTGTTGTTGTTGTTGTTGTTGTTGTTGTTGTTGTTGTTATTGTTATTATTATATCATTAGGTCATTTTACATGTTAACCTAAACATCTTATTTTTTCAAATACCTTTTTACCAACCGTTGATATAATTCACTGGTCAAATCCGCTAATATAATCCGCTAACTGCTAGTTTTCAAACAAAGACATTGCGAGATAGTTCTCACTTCAATTTGTTGTGTGATTTGAATACTCTCTTTGTCAACAAATCCCTCAAGTAGTTGATATGATTGGTTTTATTAATTATATTTTTTTTAATTTTTTCATCATGATATTAATAAAATACTTGGTAAATACATATATAGCATTATTTTGTATTATAACTTTGATATTTAATTAAAAAAAATAGTGCACAAAAAAGATAATAGACAATGTAGTGAATATATTCAATTGATGAATTTGAATGTAAAGAATTTTTACATTGGATAAAAATAAAGACAATATAACTAATAAAATTATTTCTCTTCATTAATTTATTGATTGGTTAAATATTATTTTTTGTTGTAGTTACTAAAATATTATTTAATTTAATAAGAATAAAATAGAGTACTAATTACCAGGACTATGTGGTCTAATGGTACCCGGGTTAGACTTTCGTTTGGAAGGTTGTGAGTTCAAGCCTCAGTGGAGGCGTTATTAGCTCTTTGTGTTTCAGTAGGTTGAGAAAGTATATGAACAGATACTACAATGTAATAGAGCTAGTAACATTCAAAAAAAAAAAAATAGAGTACTAATTATGCCAACTTTGATTGGGATGAGGTTCGAACTTAAGACCTTTCTTATTGAAATCAATGAGCAAGTTAACGGTGAACTAACCGAAATTCATTTGATTAAAATCTCTGACTTGCCATTTTTTCTACCCATTATAGGTCTAACTCTCTTGGGCTCTTATTAGTGTATATATATATATATATATATATATATATATATATATATATATATATATATATATATATATATATATAGAGGAGCGCTCACATGTGGCCATGTTGTTAGGTGTGGTCATATGGTCAATTATAGACCATTAGATTAGATAGATCTAATGATTCATATTAATCAAGATTTTTTCCAGTATTTTCGCGCACATTCTCCTACCCAGAGAACTGTAAGGGTAAACTTGTCATAAAACACCGGAATAGGGAAAATCACATTGTTGTGTGTTTTATTACACTATTGGTGCATGTTGTCAACACTGTTGGTGTATTCTGAAACCCGACCGCTATAACTGGCCATTGTAATTACCATAACACGGGAATACACCATTGGTGTGTTTCACTGTGGTGTGTTTTATTACACTATTGGTGTATGTTGTCAACACTGTTGGTGTATTCTGGAACCCGCCCGCTATAAATGGTCACTGTAATTACCATAACACCCCCACTTACTAAAACGCGCGAAAATTCTGAGAATTACCACTGCCTTTAGATTAAACTGATTCAACGACCCAGATACGACCACACGACCACACCTAATGACATGACCACATATGAGCGTTTTTCTATATATATATATATATATATATATATATATATATATATATATATATATATATATATATATATATATATATATATATATATAGGGTTGAGTTCAAATGAGGACAACAATATATAGAGGACTGTGAGGACAAATAATGGGCACACAACAAATTAATACCAGGCACACAACTTAATACATAATGGCACACAAGAATAAATGTAAACATTAGGTTTCGAACCCAGGCTCTATAAATAAACAAATCTAGCACGCGACATACAAACTGTGGCACACGACTACATTCGTCTATGCACACGACATACCGGCTAATGGCACACACTACATCTGTCCTCACAGTCCTCTATAATATACTTGTCCTCATTTGAATACACACACACACACACACACACACACATATATATATATATATATATATATATATATATAGCCCCTTGCCTCACGGCCCTCGCCCTTTTGCACCTTACCTCCTTGCTTGCTTACCTATAGCTTTCTTGTCTTGGTGTCTTCTTTTTTGGGTTTTTTGTCTTTTACTATAAAAGGATATTGACTAACTGTAATAGATACTCATGCAATTTATTGACTGATGGCGCCCAGACAGAGTTTGTATGCTTCTATGAAATATTTTGATAGGGATATTGCAACTTGAAGATATTTAAGAAGATATCTAATATGTTGCAGAAGGAAAACAACCGGCGCCTGTAGCTCAGTGGATAGAGCGTCTGTTTCCTAAGCAGAAAGTCGTAGGTTCGACCCCTACATGGCGCGTCAGACCTCACAAATTACCCATTTAAAATTTATGAACCTACAATACACCTAACATAAAAAATGAATGACATTTGACAATTGGCGCCTGTAGCTCAGTGGATAGAGCGTCTGTTTCCTAAGCAGAAAGTCGTAGGTTCGACCTCTACCTGGCGCGTCAGACCTCCCAAATTACCCATTTAAAATTTATGAACCTACAGTAAACCTAACATAAAAAATGAATGACATTTGACAATTGGCGCCTGTAGCTCAGTGGATAGAGCATCTATTTCCTAAGCAGAAAGTCGTAGGTTCGACCCCTACCTGGCGCAGAAAATGTGACCTATTCTTCAAATTCAAATTATGAAATAAGTTAAGGGTCCGTTTGGAAAGCCGGAAAATGAATCATTTTTCAGAAAACATTTTCCTTTCCAGTGTTTGGTTGCATTCTGGAAAACTGTTTTTGTGTGTTTGGTTCATTATCTGAAAAATGAGTAGAATTGTATAATTAAACATTTTAATTATTTTATTTAGAATATTACAACATGTATAATAATATATAATAATATAATAATAATTTTAAATATAATAAAAAAATAACTAATAATATATAAAAAAAATATTAGGGTGGTGGTGGTGGTGTAGTGGTAGTGGTGTTATTTGTTATATAATAATAATAATAATAATAATAATAATAATAATAATAATAATAATAATTGGTGGTGGTATGACGGTGGTGGCGGTGGTTGCGGTGGTATGGTGGTGGCGGCAGCGATGGTGGTTGCGGTGGTATGGTCGTGGTGGTGGTGGTGGTGGTGGTGTGGTGGTGGTGGTTGCAGTGGTATGGTGGTGGTGGCGACGGCTGTGGTATGGTGGTGGTGGTGGCGGCAACGGTGGTTGCGGTGGTGGTGGCGGCGGCGGCGGCGGTGGTGGTGGTGGCGGCGGCGGCGGTAGTGGTGGTAGTGGTGGTGGTGTGATGGTGGTGGTGGCGGTGGTTGCGGTGGTATGGTGGTGGTGGTGGCGGCGTCGGCGTTGGTAGTGGTGGTGGTGTGATGGTGTGGTGGCAGTGGTATGGTGGTGGCGGTGGTTGTAGTGTTATGGTGGTGGTGGTGGTGGCGGTGGTTGCGGTGGTGTGGTCATGGTGGTGGTTGTGGTGGTGGCGGCGGCGGCGGCGATGGTATGGTGGTGGTGGTGGCGGCAGTGGTGGTGGTGGTCGTGGTGATGGTGGTGGCGGTGATGGTGGTGGGGGCGGCGGCGGTTGTGGCAGTGGCGGTGGAATGGTGATGGCGGCGGCGGTTGTGGGATGGTGGTGGTGGCGGCGACGGTGGTTGCGATGGTATGGTGGTGATGGTGACGGCGGCGGTGGTGGTAGTGGTGGTGGTGGTGTGATGGTGGCAGTGGTATGGTGATGGTGGTGGCGGCGGCGATGGTTACGGTGGTGGCGGCGATGATGGTTACGGTGGTATGGTGGTGGTGGTGGTGGTGGCAGCAGTGGTGGTATGGTGTTGATGGTGGTAGTGAGGTGGTGGTGTGATGTTGGTGTAAAAGTTGGAAAATGACTTCCCCTCAAAAAAAGGGGAAGTCATTTTCCTCAAAAACAAGCCTATTTTCCAAAGTCAACGGAAAATGATTTCCGTTGACTTGATTTTCCAGGCACATCCAAACAATGGAAACTTGGAAAATGATTTCCAGAACTCATTTTCCAGGTTTCCAAACACACCCTAAAAGATGAATGACATTTAACATGATGGAAGTGTAACATTGTGTTTATAAATCTTCAACTTCGAGTTTATGAAACAACAA